GACACAGTCAGTTGCTGTAATTTGTAGCTGATGGCTCCAAAGCCCACTTCTTATGTTTCCTTTTCTTTATATTTGTTTTGCCTTGGTAAATATGGAGATTGCCAGATCCCGAACAGCATAGGCTGGAAACTCAAAAAACTAACAGCCCAGATATCATGAGCTGGCAAACTCTCAGCTGTTTTTGTAATGATTTATTTCTTGGATTTGATCTTTTGGAGAAATCTACAGCCAGCTGCCTGTCTTGAGTAGAGGAGACAGATTACTCCAGACTTGTTTTTCACTGGGACTGCTTTTCAATGAAACTTTTATACACTTTCCATAGTCAACCAAGCAAATAATGCTTGTCAGTCACCTCTTAACCCACTTGGAAGAGCTTAACACTTTACAAAACCAAGATAAATAGTTACCCGAGCAAAAACCTCTACTGGTAGGGAGTATTCTAGAGGAATACTGCTCCTAGCCAGAGCACCACAGCACTGTACACTGTTAAATGTACAATGGAGAAAAGGGCTCAGGTTTTCTGTAACAAGAATTTGAGAAGGTGAGTTAAAGTATTTGTAGCCACTGCGTGTGATACTCGTGAATTTCAAGTAGCTCTTACCTTTCTGGAGTGGTGACAGATTGCTGGAAATAATCCTCTGCCATGTGCAAGAGTTCTGAGTACTTAGCAGACCCTTCCATTTCTCCCTGTCACAAGCATGAGCAGACACACACACAAAATTACACTTCCAGAGGCCCAAACAGATTTATGGTGTTATGTGTGGATCATTGGGAATACTGAATTCTAGAGGCAGGCAAAGGAAATGTAAGCCAGTGAAACCAGTTAAGACTTCACACAAACGTGTTGTGATTTCCTTTATTCAAGTGTCTCTCTCCCCTTTCTTTAGATGAATGGATGCATCCACAAATGCTGCTTTTCCCCTTATTCATTTCCAAAATAAATTAATTTCAAAAGAAATTCCTGCCCTGCTGCAACTACTTCCACAAGTTCAAGAGCTAAAACATTTGTACTGGAACGTTTGTAAGACACAGACACACAACTTCACCTTGAAATAATCCTTCTCCTTCAGGCTCCTGAGGAATCTCTCCCACAAGGGACCACTTAACACGTTTCTCTTGGAATCAGGAGATACTTTGCTGCTCTTGGAGCACAAAATTTCAAAGCCATGAGCCTGTGGAAGAGATGCAAAACCAAAGAGGTTCCCGAGGCGTGGCAAAACTTCGCTCACAGTTTTCTGGCCGAGCAGGTGACTTAAGAAGCAAAGAGTCATTTCCTGGACATGCATAAACCAGGCCAAACTAAGCACAAAATGCACTGAGAAGTCCTTACCAGCTTCATGCCCAGTTCATGGGCTTTGTAGTGAGGGTGAGACGGGGCGGGCAGGGTGTACCCACTGCGCCTGTCCGGAACAAACTTCTGCTGCACCAGCTGGGCATACAAACACCGTGTGAAGGTAACCTGCAACAGCCAGAGCAAAAACAAACCACTCACTGCAGCGTGACCGTGTCCTGTACAGGCATCAACTTGCCACCAGGCTCGTCCAAATCGTGTTTTAAGGCACCAGTATTACAGACAACACCCGAGACTGCATTCAAAACACATCCTAGATAAGTTTTTCTAGGGAATGTTGCTTTTTGGGCCTTACACAAAGTATATCCCAAGGTGACATCTCTAAATAAACACGAACTTCAATCAGTCAAAATTACATTAGAAAAGACCCTGAGTATTCAGTATTCACACCAACATGTTTTATTTTGAAAAACTGCAAGGGCTTTTTTTCCATTAATGAAACCAAAGCTGAGGTTTCAGGAACAGCCCAGAAATCTAAAATTTGACTGCAACGCTTCTTTTCAGGAGTCCAGGGGTATAGCAATGTAAGAAAACGTATCAGATGCTACCACACAATGCTCATGAAACACTTCATAAAGTGTGTGAGCACATCTGAGAAGGTGAGAAGCCTTGGCATGAGCAGCTGGGGGTAGCTGGCAGCAACTCCTGCTGCTGGCTGGCAGCGCTGTCAAACTGCTCTGATCACAGGAGGGGATCAGTTTATTCAGCAGGCCTTTCGGCAGAGGGACTATTTAGCACGACCTGCCATTCCAGAAACATTTACCTCCCGCTTAGCCCTCTGAAAGCCCAGCCGTGTCAACGTGAAGGCACAAAAAGCAACGAATGTAACGAACTGCAAGTTATTAACGCTTCACTGAAAAAAAAATTATAAACAAACCAGAAAACATCCCGCTGTAAAAACCAAACCCACGTATTTCCACCACAGAACCCTTGTCGGTCCCAGAAGGAGAAGCCGATTTGCACCACTGACCACGGTCATCACGCTCTGGTCCGAAGGGAAGGTTCGGAAAGGGCGGCGACAGGCTCGTAAATCCGCCGGATCCCGCAGGTAGAAGGCCTGGACGGCGGCGGCCACCAGGGACGGGCGCTGCCGCAGCAGGGCCGCGATGGCCGCGGGGACGAAGCACTGCGCCCGGTGCAGCGAGGCCTGGATCTTCTCAGGGTACCTGGTGCGTGCCACACAACACGGTAAGTGTATTGCCAGCCCAAACCACTCCTCTTTTACTGCTGGTCCCGTTTTCACTGTAATATTAACCTGTAACTCGCCTGGAAGGGCTGCTTCTGTAATAGATATAATATCCCATGTGCAAGGAGGACGGGAAGGAAGAATAACTTGTCGTTGTCAGGCGTGGAGTCATAGCAGCTTTAGAGCCCCCCCCCCCAGATCACTGTCTACAGGACGCTCATTCCCCTTCTTCCCAAGAATGCCACAGAAAAAACCTCTAGCTGGTGGTTTCTGGAAAGGAATCGACTTTATCACACCTATCGGGGAAATCTTTAAACCCCAGACAGCCCAGAATCAAAACTCACTGTGGCAGAAGACCAAAATAAAAACACCCCCATACCCATCAATGCGTTTGTACACCGCAGCTCTGATGGGCTCTGCAGCCAGGAACTCCTCAGAACGGGTGGATAACAGTGCCAGCGCCTCTGAGATTGTTGGACAGGGAGCAGACAGGTCCCAGTCCTGCTCCGGAGTCTCTGACAGCGGAATGATGTGCAGCTCTCCTTTGTAAAAGAACACCTGGCAGAGGGGAACGTTTCCATCAGAACAGGCACACACACACTGAGCCATGGGAAACTTAATTTCATATACAAAATGCATTTGTTTGAACACAGGGAATACTGAAGTACAAATGAATGATACAGGAAGCAGTATAATTTAAATATGGAATTTGAGATGCCAGCGACCGTGACCCAAACAGTGAATAAAAAACCCCTCTATTTTAACTTCAACAAGTTTGGTCAAATGTATCTTGTTTCCTTAGTAACAGTAATACCAAAAGCTTCCCTTCAACCAGAGATTTGCTTCAGGAGAATCAGCATAACCTAATTGCTGAAAAATTCCCTACATGCTCACTCTACGTAACATTCTGCAAGAGCACAGAGATCCAAATCAAGTGTGAGGAGTTCTCAGTCATTAAATCTCTCACTCAACGACCACAGCAATAACAAAGCAGCTCACTGAAACCAGAATGAAAACAGACTGTCCTAAAAAAAACCCATGCTGTTGATTAAAACAAGTCTTGAGTCCTGAGTAGAAGTTTATTCACTAGTAAGGGCCAGACAGCACTCTGGATTTTCAGGGGCAGTCAGACCACTCGGCTAAAGGTGCAAGAGAAGATTCCAGCTGCTACGTAAAAGGCCCCCATGAGCCACTTGCCACATGTACAGAAGTTTTGCTCACCCTGTTTTCACTGTTCTCAGGATTCAGCCACTTTGGGAGAAAATCAGCCGCTTCTATCAGGAGAAACTCTCCATCGTTGTCATCGATCCTGGCCAAGGAGAAATCGGTTTCTTAACAGGAGAAAGCCTCACAGAGCATCTAAATCCATGTCTACTGAGTTTCTTTTTAATACTCATTCAATCACAGAATAGTTGGAAGGGACCTTAAAGACCATCTGGTTCCAACACCCTGCCATGCGCAGGGGCACCTTCCACTAGACCAGTATAATCAGAGTCCCCAAGCAGCCTGGCCTTGAACACTTCCAGGGTTGGGGAAGCACCTCCAAGAACGGGCAATATTAAGACAGGACCTTCAAAGCGAAGGCACTGCCCCTTCACACTCGCCTCGAACCACTGGGCGCCTCAGCAGGACCCGCCTTACCTGGCTGCCAGCCCCGGGAAGTGCCTGGTGATCTCCCGGACCAGGTACACGATGAACCACTCGTCCTCCACGTTGTCCCCGAACAGGGTGGTGCCGCCGATGTGCTCCGGGGTCTCGCCTGCACGGGGGATGGAGACAGAAGAGGGGGCTCAGCCACCCCGCACCCAGGAGCTGCGGTGTGTGTCCCTCACTTAGGGACATTCCAGAGCCGTCCGGACACGCTCCCGTGCCCTGCGCTCTGGGACGGCCCTGCTGGAGCAGCGAGGCTGAAGCAGATGCCCCTACTATGGTCCCTTCCAGCCTGACCCGTTCTGGGGAGCCCGTGAACACGCCGGGTCCCCCCCCTCACAAACCCCTGGATACAACCAACCCCTGGATACAACCCCTGGATACAACCCCTGGATACCCCTGACAGCCCCCGCCGGGGCCCCCTTCATACACTGGGTGTCCCCTCCACACCTCACAACCGGGTACCCCTTCACACGCCGTGTCCTCCCTCTCACACACCGGGGTCCCCCTCACACGCCGGGCCCCCCCTCACACACCGGGGCCCCCCTCCCACACCGGGGCTCCCCTCGCACGCTCCCCCCGGTGCCGCTCCCGGGCTCACCCCTGGCCGGCTCGTAGCGCAGGCGGAACGGCTGCCGGTGCCACACGTAGGCGGCGAGCAGCGGGGCGAGCCGCACCAGGGCCGCCTCAGCGCAGCGCCGCAGCAGCGCCTGCCCGCCGGGGCCCGGCGCGAACAGGCGGTACCGCACCGCGTCCTCGGGCAGCGCGGGCCGCCCCACAGCCTGCCCGGCGGCCGAGCGGCCGAGCGGCTCCATCGCGGCGGGGCCGCGCTCCGCCCCCGCGGGACGAGCGGCGCGATGGCGGCGGCGCGGCGGCGCTCAGGATGATATCGCGATACGCGCGCAGGCCGGTGCAGCCGTGAGTGGCCCCGCTCCCCTCAGGGCCCCGATCGCCATCCCGCCCTCCATCCCCATCCCCGTGCTGATCCCGGCCCCGCTCCCGCTCCCGGCCCCGCCGCCCGCGCCGCCCCGGCCGCAGGCAGGGCCCCGCCAGGGCCCGGTCGCCGCATGTGTCCCCCCCCTCCCCGGGTTACCCCCGCAGTTAAATCCCTGCCCCGCGCTTCTTAGTTCCCCTGGCCCGAGAGCTGCGTCTGTTCTGACTGCCTCGGTGGCTCCTGTGCTGTTTAATTTAATTTAATTCGCCTCCAGGGACGGCGGCATTTGCCTCTGCGCTCAGGGAGCTGCAGCGCGGTTTGCAACGTTTTTAAGTTTAAAGGAAGGCGTTTCAAAGTGAAGACCCTCCTTATACCGTATAACTGCACTTAAATATAGTACTGTAACACTATAGTTCTGACCTTGAATGTAAACCTTCGGCAACAATAATTTTGGGTCAGTTATGGCCCAGTTGATGTGTTGTTGGCCTTTGTCTTTTAATGTATTTGTGTTTAAAAAACGTGTATTTAATTGTCTTTAATTTCTATTGAACAAATACATCCATTTTGGAAGTTAGTGACTTAGCTACAGCCTTTTTATGTTTAATTCTGCCCTTCCTGGCCAGCAGAGAAATGACAGGAGAGAGAAGTTCTCTATTTAAGCCTCATTCAGCTGCTGTTTGGGGCAGGGCTTCTGCCCTGCATCAGTACTTGTTGTCTCCTATTAATGCTACTTTTCTTGTCACTCTCTCCTTGACATCTAAACTTTGACAAAACAAAAAGCTACCAAAAATTTATTCTTCCCAACTTGCCAGTGCATGGTTTCATAGAATCACAGAATCCTTAAGATCTTAGAGGGAAAGCCCTCTAAGATCAAGTCCAACCATTAAGCCAGCACCACCGTGTTCATCACTAAACCATGCTCTCAAGTGCCACATCCGCACCCTTTTTAAACATTTCTAGGGACAGTGACTCCACCAAAGCCTGTCCCAATGCCTGACCACCCCTTCCACAAAGAAACTTTCCCTCATATCCATCCTGAACCTCCCCTGCTGCGACTTGAGGCCGTTTTCTCTGGTCCTTAAACCTAAAGCCTTAGTAACAAATTAGCCTTCTAATAACAAATGCATGCACATTCCTTGAAAAGCAGGAAAGAAAAACCTGTCAAACTTCTTGGGAACTCTGTAAACAGAAAATCTGCTTTTTCTTTTTAGACAAGGACTCCCTAAACATGCCCTGAGGCATCACCCACTGCCAGAGCCAGGAGTTCAGAGGTGCTCAGCCACACCCAGGGCTGAAAGCCACGGCCACCTCTCCAGGTACTTGTGGGGACACATCTCCCAGAGCTGCTCTGATACAGCCAGGCTTTGTTTGCTGACACACTGCATTGCTAATTTTTTGCCCACTGTTTATTTTTTGTGGGTTTCAGGGAGTCGGAAATCCGGAGGGAATCAGCTCTGGATCATGGGAATCCAGGGACTGCCAGTCAGAGCTGTGCTGACACCTCCACTGAAGACAGCTCAGTCTTCTCTTGGGGCTATGATGTGAGTAGAACATAATCATCCGAGCCAAACCTACCACAGTGAGGAGAAAACCGTTCAAAATGCCATTAAAAAGACATTTCAGGATAAAGATGAGGATTGGTTCTGTCAATAAATCATCATAGTGATTATAAAAAGAACGTACTTTTTACCTCTTTCCTTTCTTCCAGTTCAGAATGCATTAGGCTCATGTTATTCAATTAATATGGTGCAATTCCATCTAAAATTTTGGAAATGCAAATCATTTAGTGCATAAGTGTATCTACAACTGCTGTTATTGTGGAATCCCAAACATGACTGGATGATTTTCAGGTACTTGGTGTGAGTTTATCAACCTTCTGCTTACTTGCTTCTCAAAACACTGCAAGCTCCTAAACATAATTTTAGTTCAGAAATGGCTGTTTTTTTCTCCATCCACCAAAGCCCAGAGTGCTGTTGCTTTCTTGTGAGGTGAGATGGATCTGTTCAGGTTTAAATGACCACAGAACTGACCCCATTTTCTGGCTACATGAGCACATGAAACAACAAAGGTCCTGATCATCCCTCACTTTCACTCTTTCCCACCAGTCTGCATTGCCTCTTTTTTTGTTGTTTATGATAACAATAATTTGTTACTTAGTTGCAGCTTTATTTTGTCGCAAGCCACAAAATTTTCCACTGCCTTAAAATATCACTGAATTTTATCCTTCCTCTTCTGACTTCTTTTGTGTAAATTCCTATATCCCCGTAACTTAATGTAGTAACACGGATGTTTCAAAATGTTTCAGTAGTTTTATCTGCCCTGTCAACGTAAGCTTTTTTATGTGGCCACCCTCAGTCTTAGCAGCAGGGAGGAAATGATTTAAAGTCAAAATCCTTCTGCGCAGTCCTGCTAAGCTTTAAACAAATAGTTGTCTTTTTCAGTTATATTAAAGAAAAATCAATTAACCCCTCCACCACACACACACACACACACACACACACACACAATGCAAATACTATTCACTAGGTATTTACTGGATAACTTCCCTTTCTAGGAATTTGATAAAGCTGCCACACAGCAAGTTCAGCAGATGTTCGGACAAATTGATGAGCTTCTCTATGAGCAGAAAGAAAATGTGCATGTGGAGGGACTGTGGGAGGAATGCCAGCAGTGGACATCCAGCTTTCCTCACCTCAGGTATTTCATGGACAGACTAGTGCCAATCCCCTCACAAAAAGGGTAGGGATGGACACAGTTGCTTTTAAAACATGAGTAGCAGGGTGGTTTATGCACTTATGGAGTAGAGAGGGATAAAAAGATCACTCTGCTCATTAAAATAAACCTCACATTTGGTTCCTTGGCAGAGGTTTATGGCTATTTGCAGCTGACTTGGCCTTAACACAGCAGAGTTCTCTTAGAAAATCAGGTTTTGCTCTGCTAAGCACAGTAAATTTTGTTATGGTATTTATAAGCTTAAAATCCTGTAAAAACCCTCCTCTCCTAGTTCAGCAATCCTTATGGCTGCCTGAAAACTTACATTTTACATCTTCCTTACGTTGCTCTTGGAACAGTTTTGTCCACGTTCACAAGTTTTACAGCTAGCAGAGCATTAAACAAATGCCTGGCCAAGTTTCCTCGATGCATTTCCCTGGCTCGAAGCAACCTGCACCAGGGAAAACCACCCAACCGAGCACCGGGAAAACCGCACAGCTTCCCAGGAGAACTCCTGGGGTTTGCTGCTGCTCTTACCTGCTCCAGTAACCTCCCTTCCAGCGCCTTCTGATGTGGGTTCCCTTTGCTTTCGCCACGGCAGGGTTGTAGGGAAGCAGATGGTGGCGCCCACAGATGAAGGGTTTGGATGGTACTCGAGTTCCCCTTTGGGCAGTTTGGCCCCCTCCGATGTAAGTTCCCCACCAGAGCAGGATCTCGATGAGTAAGTACCTGTGGCGAGCCCAGGCTGTTCCCAGGTGGGAATGTCATTCTGTTCTGTACAGGGAACAAGGCAGTGGGAAGCAGCTCCGTCCTCTGCTTCTTAAAAATGTGCAGCCCAGCTCCTTCCTGTCAGGCTGGGTTTTGAACCCAGCACACTTTATTTTCCTTTCTAACTAAAAATAGTGCACTCAGAGTAGCAAGGCGACGTAGCTGTGCTTGTTGCTGACTACGGCGAGCTGGTCAGTAAATAGAAATATCTTTGCTGCTGCTGGCTTCTTAAGGATGTGTATGTTTTGTAGCTGGTTTTATTGTTAACCATTTGTTAAATTTGTGCAGAACTTCAAAAACACAAGGCTATTATGATTTAATGTTTCAAAACGCTTGTTTTCAAAATGTTGGGTTTTTTTTTCCCCCTGAAGTTTCGAGTTCCTTAGCAAGAATTAAAAAATATCCAGAGCAAAAGTTTGTACTGTAATGAACAATTTGTTGGTCTCTCTTGGCCTTATGTACCATGCTTGTCTCTCAGTTATTTTGAAGTGGAATAACAACTTGTTTTCATTTCTGCTTTCTGACAACTGTCACCTGTTCAGATTTAGTGTTTTTGGCAAGAAGGTCCCTCTTTTTGTTGCTCCCGTTCACAAAAAGGCCGACCCTTCCAAGTCTCCGACCTTGTGTTCCTCAGAGAGTGACGAAGGGGAAGAGGAAATAATTCTCTCCGAAGGCATAGTGGAGGAATATTTGGCATTTGACTGCAGAGATGTGTAAGTATTGAATATTAAGACAGTCAAATTTGTTATTGTTTGTTATGCTGCTTCGGTTTTGTGCTGTCATTTTGGGCGGAATTGTACCTTTTCCAGATTTTTCAGTGGTAATTTGAGAACTAAGAGTGGATTTGATGCTCTCCAAGAAACAATTACCACTCCTTTTTTATCTTTTTGTCCCCTTACTGTATATCACCCAACAATATGAACATATGGCCTGGGTAAGGACTCTGGAGGGTATACTGTCAGTTCCTAACTACTTAATTGGCTTTAATAACTAAAGCCACTTAGCTGCATGGGCCATTAATTTTAAATTGTTACTTGTCTTGCTTTGACCAGGCCAGAGAGACATTGCTGCAGCAAATAATATCTTCTCTTGTCTTCAGCATTCTGTAGTGACATCAGATATGGAGCTTAACGATGTGCTGAAGAAATATCACTGTAACTATTAATACTTATTTTTAAATAGGACTTTGATCTTATCGGTAAATTATTTGTTATTTGTGAATCAAATACCATTTAAGTCATTCTTGTACAGGGAAACTAGGGTGTGCAGCCATAGGTGGTTGTCTCAGTCATGTCTTGATTCAGGTTGGTGGAAGAACTACAAATAAATGCAGGAGACAAAGGAGATGTGTTTGTGGTGCAGGTAGTGCTTCCATTTTTCCAGGGAGGAGGAGCTGCACGAGAGGAGAATGGGCCTGTCCTCTGGCAGAAGGAAACTGGGGTTTCCTCCCGTCTCTCCGTATTCCTGCACGAAGGATTCCGTGCTCACCTTCGTGTTTGATGATGTGTGGAGCGAAGTGCTGGGCTGCATGGAAGAACTGATCTGCAGGCACTGGGAAGGATCAGCCTCTGGTAAGGATCACAGCTTGAGGGAAGGCTGAAAAGAGTACAGGGAGTTGGTTTTGCAAGGAGGCAGTGGGGGAGAGATGCAGTGGGGATGATCTTTTCAGTGGGAATAAAAAGGTAACGTTGTTGACAGTGTGAGGTTTGCCTTCAAAAGATTTAGCAGAATTTACCGTCCAAGAGCGCTCCCTGTAAACATTAGGATTGATAGCACCGTCCACAGCTAGCAGTGCCAGCAGCCTGTATTGACAGGAACTCTCTCTTGCTTTGCACAGATGATGAGAAGAACATCCTAACAGTAGAAACACTCCGGGCAGGTGCCAGAAGCCCTCTGCAGCTCGATCCTCTGCCAGCCCTGTTACCTCGTGTGCCACACACGAAAACGCCCTCGGTGACCTCAAATCTGGTAAGTATTTTTAGCCCCTGCTTTGTGGAGGGACGAATCAATACAGTGTTACTTCAGCAAACACGCTGGAGGATGGCAGCCCCTGGGTTATGTTTGGACTTTGTGGGAATGCTGACTGTCCACTTAATTCCTTTTATTACTCAGTTGCAAGTTTTAATTCCTACTTACTTCTCTCTTTAAAACTTAGTATTTTATGTATGTATAGGACAACCATGTTGATTTTTGACATGGTTTTTTCTATACTTTAATAACATTTGACGTTAATGGTGACATTGAGGACTGTGTGTGTGGGATCCTGTTCTCACCAGGGTCTTTTGTCAGGCAACAGGGGACAAATCTCAGGGCAGCTCTAAACCCGCTTTTTCTCTCAGACACTGATTTTAACTGCATAATCTGCTTTGGCTGATCTGCTCCTGGAGTGGTGAGCACCAAAGCGTTACCTGTTTATTCCATTTTAATTCATCTCTGTCCTTATTTCTCTCTCCTTTATTTCTACCCCTGCCTGTTCCTCGTGTTCCCTTACTGTGTGTGTAGTGCCCAAAACCCAGATGTGGCCGCAAAAGCAAAAAGAGAAGAAAAACACCTCAAGTATGTATCCTGGAGGGATTAAAGCTCTGCTATTTTCTGTTTTCTGTTGTTTTGGTGGGTGGAATTTGGTGTTTTTTCAGATCAGCCTGTACTTGCAGGTACAAAATGTGAACATGCCCTCAAAATCAGTTTTGTAAGACTTCAGGTTATAGTAATTGTTGGAAGATCCTGTCATGCAAATGAGCTGCTCAGCTGGAAAATATGAAGTGTTAGGATACATTTTTAACCACTACCATTTGCCAAAAAAAAAAAAAAAGGACGGCTAAGATGCTTGTCTTAGATGGGGAAATAATATAAAACTGAGTATGTATCTGGGTGTCATGGAAGAAATTAGTGGCTTTTCTCCAAAATTATATACAAAATCTGTAAGTATATCTCTGCTAAGCAGCAATTTACTTAATTTTTTTTTTAAATTTCAGGTCAGTGTCTCTCAAGGGTCGAGTAGTGGCTCTCAGCGGAATCTGAACGGCTTGATGGTGATCCACGGGATCCAGTTACACCAGAGGAACCTGCCTGTGGTGGAGAAAACACTGTAAGAGTTACAGATCATCTGTTGTAAAGCAGAGCGTTCTCACAGTGAGAGGGATTCAGCCCAAACCTTTGTGAGATAAATTCCCACACCGGAGAAAGCCCTTCTCGGTTATTTCCCTGCTAGCTTGTGTGTGAAAAATGAAGTGTTAGGATACAGTTAAACGGTATTATAGATTATATAGTTCTGTTTTAAAAACTGAGAACACGTTGTTTCTGTCCAGGTATTTTATGATTAATGCCTCACGTGGGTGAGTACTTTGGGAACGGAGCCGCTTTGACCGTCTCCCTGTTGGTCTTTTGTCAGGGACCTGGATGACAAACGGCCAGGTTCCAGCTCCATCCTCTCCATCAGAACGTGGCCAAATCGTGCCCTGGAGCTCAGCACATCATCCCTGTCCCGCTCCACGAGGAGGAGGAACCCCCCGCCACGGACCCTGCACCCCATCTCCGGCAGCCACCCCCGCACCGGCACCCCGCGCTCCGGGGACGACGCCAGCAGGGCAGCGCGGCTGTACGTCCCCAACCCAGCCCCTCCCTGCAGGTTAACCAGTGCAGAGAGCCCAGCTGGCATTAAAATCATGCAGATGGGCAGAAGGAACGTTTGGTTAGAGAAATGAGCTGCCCGTGAAGGCGCAACTGCCCTGAGAAAGCCGAGTCGCTAAGGCTGGTGTTCACCGTGCTGCGATTCAGTGAATCACGGACACACAAAGGTGCTTCTGCACCTCGGTTTTTCCAGCACAAGTCAACACCACCACCTCTTTCTTGACATGCTTATCTTTCTCTGGAGCCTGTTCTCAAGATGAATTTAAAAGCCTGCAGGTTTTGGAGGAGAAACTGCATGTTGCTATCCTAGCCCAGAGTGGGCTGTGAAGATGTTAAAATAGGTTATCTGACTGACCAAAGGGCTCTCAATGCACTCAGTGAACCCCTCAGTCACATCTAAAACATCTCATTTTGCACATTTACAGGGACCACAGGGTATCGGGAAACAATGCAGGCTTTGATATACTTCTGTGTCCCATGAATTGTAAATCGATGTAGTTTCCTTTTAGTTTTGTACTTTATGTATAAACTCACCAAGCCTGTTGTTAATTCTTGTCACGTAGTGTTTAGAGGCTTATTCCTTGCCCCTCCACAACTGATGTTTCTAGTTCCAGTATTTTATGCTTCTGTTCCTTTTCCTCAGGCTTCAATCAGTCTAACAAATATTAACATCTCACCTTTAATACCATATATTTTTAAATGTAGAGAGCACTAGGAAAGTGCTTTTTAAAATGTTCTGAAGCTTCTCTAAAGTGTTCTTATAGAACAGCCAACTCCAGAAAGTGGAACAAACTAACAATATTATCCCTTTCCACCCGCCAAACATATAAACTGTATTTTTTTTTCTCTTTTTACTGGTGCTTTTCAGTCTGACTGCACAGGAGCAGCTGACCTCCCCCTCCCCACTGCTGCTGAACCGGAATCACCCCCTACCCCCTATTGCCACCTCCAGCGTGGCAGAGCATGGGAGCACCACGGGATCCCAGAGGCAAATGGTAACGGGAACGACAATTCCATTTCATCACTACTGAATAGTCTAAAGTTGTAATCCCTGCTGATCAAACTACCAAGCCCAAGAGTACCAATTTATTTGTTACCTGGCGACAGCCGGCCACATAGATGCACAAAAAAGGTCACAGCAGTTTCGACTAAAAAAGTCACCCACAGTTGCCTGCTTGATTCTCATTCATGCCAGAATGTTTTCCTCCTCGTAACTAGGCTGCAAAATGATTCACGTGGAAAATTAGCTTTAATTCCTAGGCTAAGGATTGCCAATGTGCTGCTGCAGTGAGAGAAAGCCATAACTGTGTTACTCTTCCCTGCAGAAACCTCGAGGGAACTCAAGTCGTGCTCACAGTGTAACGACACAAGACGATGCTCACCAGCAGCTCCAGGAGCAGCTCCTCCTTCCTGATCCTTTCTCCAGGCCTAACACAACCAACACATCCTTGGTAAAGCATGGCAAATTACACCAGATCATTCTTAATTACTGCAGAAGGTGATTTGGGAAGGAACATTAATTAATCACTGCCCAGTCTGTTTCAGTACCAAACAACAAGCACCTACTCTATTTGTCCTTGTAGATACCTACTTGATATCTTGTCCTATCCAACAAATTATTTTTATCTAAGCTTCAAAAGCTACAATTTCAGTGATAGCTTTTAAATAGCTGCTTAATTCAACATTCTTGACTCAGCAGTTGTGAGAGTACACACTTCCTGAAGCCTTTTTTGAAACAATTCCCAGGATGTCTTTAACTGGTCCAGTGATTATTCCAAATAAGCGTTAGGAAAACTTTATTTTCTACTCCTGAAGTCGATTTAACCCTCCTCAAACTCAAAGCTTTACTTAGGCCTTTACAACATCTTGCCAAGTAGGCAAATAGTTTTGTAGCTGCATTTTAATCTCGATGTTTACATTTTTTCCCTGCTTTCTCAGGCAGATTCCCAGCGCCGCCGTTCCTGCACCGTCATGGATCACAGTAATCAATCTTGGACAAGCAGAGCATCAACAGGTTCAGGTATGTTCCTCAGGCACAGGATTTAGTAAGATCAAGCAAGGGGGGGGCTCTTGGGACAGGGATGCATTTCCTGCAGGAATTCATTCCCCAGGTAATGCATCCAGGAGGTTTCTCGAAGTTCTATTCACATCTTTAGTTTTCCATTATACAAGTTTTATCCTGGCTGTATCCCCCTCTATTCCAGAGTGTGGATGGGTACACTTTGGTTTTGTTTTTATTATCCACCAAGTATTTAAAATCATTTGAGGAAGCTTAAAGTCATCTGCCCCAGTGCCTCTGTTTCAAAGTGAAAAGCATCAGTTGCCAACTTCAACAGAAACAGCAGCATCTACTTCATGCCCAAGGGGTTTTTCCTTCTGCTCAACTATGCAACTGAAAAAAAAAATTGCATTATGTCCAAAAGAAACAGATTTGCACTGTATCTGGAAGGGGTTTTACTAGATCTGTACTAGATATGTGTTAGATCAAGTCAAAATATATTTGAAAGCCAGGACGATTCACACGCACCCTCTGAAGTCAGAGTTGCTTGTACTGTGCCATTCCTTATGGGGCTTTCAGGATTTCCCCCATAAAAATATGCTGACACAATAGGACTGAGGCTCCAAAAGTTAATGGAAGCTGCAAAAGTTAAGGCAGCAAGTAAATGAGTGATTATTAGAGCACATGAGGGGTCTTTCAGCTTGTTTAATAGCTGAATGGCCTCCTACCACTAACACCAGTTGTACAACAGTCAGTTTAACAAAGGAACTAAACTGAAGGAATATGGTTTTAAACAAGCAAGGAGGGACTCCTGCTGAAATTAAAATAAATATCAGCTTCCCCCACCAAAAAAAAGCAAGATGAGTTTTATGACTGCTGTATTAACAACAACAAAAAAAATTAAATTAGCAGAACTTTATAGTCTTGAATACTTGGTGAAATATCAAGGAATACAGTAGTTCCCTGCAATGCAGCAACTTGGCGAGCACAAACTTTTACCCCTTTTGGAAGTTATAAATAATGCAGTTGATAGCCATGTATTAGAATAAAGAGACTAAAAAAAAAAAAAGCATTTTAATTTGAGGCTAAAGGAGATGTATCTGGTGCTTAGTTTTAATACCTTTCAGAAGCCTTGAAGTCGTCCATGATCTCTGTTTCTCAGGTCTCCTGCCACGCGGTTCTGTGAAAGGCCACAGTCGAAGTGGATCAGGCACAAAAAGCAAACAGGGGTTCTGAGGTGCCATGGAGAAGTGTCCAATCCATCCATCCATCCATCCCTGGAGAGTCATGAACCACCACCTCTCGTTCCCAGCAAGGTCAACGTTTTTTACAGAGAGTTTTCAAACGCCCTTCCTTACAAATAGTTATTTTTATATAAATATAAACCTAAGCAGCAGCTGCCAAAGATTAGAAGGGGTACACTTAAACATTCCATTTTTCTACCAGCAGAGGAAGTGACACCCCAGTGGAAGGGTGAAGATACTCTAGGAAAGCCTGACTCCTAGGAAATCCAGCAACCACTCTCAGTCATTGCTGTTTTCCTGTGAGGTTTGTGATGGGTTCATGTCCTTACAAGGCAGGTACTGCAGAACCTGCTCATTTTTCCATTAGCTCCACAGAAGTAGTAATGTAAATTTTTTTTTAAGCTGTATTTATATATTCAAATACGTTTAAAGCAATATTGTACTAGGAAAAGCAAGCACTGCACTCGATTCTGCTTCTACAGCTCAGCTTATGCAAGTGGTGGGTCCTGCAGCAGTTGCAGCAGGTATTTGGACACAGGTGTGGAGGACTAAGGTAGCAAAGCAGGTGAAGTGACAGCTCCAAAGGTAGCACACCACTGCCTCTTCCTGAGTTATTTAACCTTATACCTCTTCCTCAGTGACCGAAGGAGGTTCAGCAGGCAGCAAGAAGCCTCTAACTACAAGTAGTTTCACACACTACTGCAAGAAAATACACTTGTCTTCCTGGTTTATGGTAATCTCACAGAACAGCTCAGTCTCCCCCTTTCAAAAATACCTGTAATTACCCAAAATTTCTGCTCTCCCCAAGCCACAGATGCAGCGGAGGTTTCAGCAGCTGTCTCTGCACCGTGAGACAGACCTGAAGGAGGGGTTTGCTGCAGTTGCCCTTGTGGCTCCAGATAAGACAGGCTTCTCAAAACAAGTGATTAGTTGAAGGTCTTACTCCCAAACAGAGTGAAGTGTGTAAAAACAAGGTGAGGATAATCACTGGCTGTACTCAAACTTAGGACACTGCACAAAAACAGTTGTTCCTTTCTAGTCCTATTAAAGAGCACTTCTTTTCCTAAATTTCCTTTATTATTCTTCAAATTATTGTTCATAGTGGACAAAAACTTGTCAGTATTCTTTAGGAAGTATCTCCCCTGTCTCCCCACTCCAAGTTATGTTACCTACAGAGCAGCTAATAATTTTGAGTCAGTATTGAAGATCTTGAGTCCAGTTGATCCAAGCATGCTTTCATCAAAAACAGGGAACTGTGCAAATGTAACTGGGTTAACTTGCCTTTGCATTTCCAGAAGGTAAAAACAAATAAACAAAAAAAAGCAGCTCTCATCTCAATCTAAACCTCTCAAATTTGCAGAGAGAGAACTTGATGCTAACCAGAGGCCTCTACTCACCAAACCATTTCAAAATACAATTTCTCTCAACACTTGGGACTGCTGGAATATTGTACAGTGTGTCAGTTCTGTCAGGCAAACTGGAGATAAGTGTCCCATTTGTGTCCGTGCCACTCCTCAGGGACCAAGTGAGTTTTCTCTGTAGCACAAGAGTTACAAAAACAGACAAATAAACTTGAGTAGACTTCTGGGAACATAATGTAGTGTTTTATAGCCTAGAGGAGTCAGTATGTTTAAATAAAAAAGGGAAGCAGTCTCCTCCTGAGGCTCATCTCGTGTTTTCTGTACAGATGGTTGACACCAGAGACTGATCCTGGGCTGTTATTTATTTATTCTGTGTAACAGAAGTAACCTTCAAGTAACCTTCAAGCCCTGTGTTACTCTCTCAGAATCAGGGTAATTTTTAGGAGGAGACAAGTAAAAGAGAACAGTGACCCTCTACCTCTGGCTTCCCCCCAGGAAGCTCCCTGAATGCTGGGGGGTCTAAGCAGTGAGAGCCTTCAAAGTGCTCACCTAAGGCTCCTAAGCCTTTGCAAAATGATCCAGTGTGCAAGTGTGCAGGATTTACTCGACTGAAATCAGAAGAACCAACACAATCAGTTTGTTTGGAACAGCTACTTAGAAAACAAACAGAGAGAGTTGGGGAAGCAACAGCACAGAACTCTGCAAAAAAAAAAAAAAAAAACAAACCTTCTCGTTTATTAAATCTGCAATTTTCCAAACTATAGAAAACTACCGGAATATCTGAAGAACACCTGTTGAGCTGATGTGCAGAGACCTTTAAAAACAGCAGGAGGCTTGTTAGGGAAGAACTGTGTGAATAGCACACGTGGATCTCAACTGAAGAGCACCCAAAGGGTTTGAAACAGTAGCCCAGGAATGCTCTGTCTTCCCTGTCATGCCTCCCAGTCACGCTGAGTCAGTGCACACAGCCCAAGACAGGAGCCCAGAAAAGAATCCCAAGTTCTCCCAAATCCACGTTTCCATACAAAATGAAACCCGGTACTTCAGCCTCCGTCGTTCCTTATGTCTTTCTCTTCTTAGCTGGAGTTTTCTTTGCTCCTTTCTTGGCATTATTCCCGTATTTTGCTTCCAGTTGGGCAAAAAAGTCATCCATTTCCCTTTCTCGATCTTTGCTTCGGCGCTGGGGAGGGGGAAAAGAAAACCAACCAAATTCAAAGCTCTTATAAAAACTTCCCAATGCAGATTATTCGATTGAAGCTTGACAGCTACATAAAATCTGGAATATATTAAACAGGGAATACAATCTACAGGAAGTTTAGTACCATCATTAACACTCCCTAACTGCCTGAAACCACAAATTAAATATTTTGAAGCTAACATGGAATAACTTTGTTAATTTTTAAAAGGACACAAGTAATAAAATCCATACCATAGTCTATTAATTAAAGTACATGGTTAACACGAAGGTTTTACCCTCAGGAACTCAGAAGAATTACAAGGATCCAAAACCAAAGATGCTCAGGGAAAACACAGTTTTAAGCCAGTAACATAATTATCTGCAACAAACAGAAAGAGCCTTACTTGAATCAGCGCTTGCAAGTCATTTTCTCCTCCAAGGCCCAGTTCATCTTTAGTCTTTTTTGCCTCTTTAGCTTCTTTTTCTGCCTGAAAAAGCAAACAGGATTTTTTTTTAAAAAAGTATTTTGCGTGTTATCTGACAAAGTCTTACAGGAGTTACCAAATGCCTTTTTTTTTTTGGCATCTGTGCACAAAGAGCTGCAGGGAAACACAAAGGGATTCCAAGTTTGGCCGCAGATGAGGAATCAGGCAAAGGTTCCACCATTTAGCACAGTGGGAAGTCTTTTTGCTCTTTCACAGTGTTGAATGTGACGTTTGTCCCTGTTCCCCTATCCATATTTTCTTTGTCTTAGCAGATCCTACATTAAGTTACAGGTTACTGTGATGTGCACGTAACACTCTACAAAGTGTTTGGACAAGAGTCCGTCTAGTCCAGAACAGTTTCACACCTGCCAAAAGTCAAGCAAAATGTATTTCCACCACTTGTTGTTTTGGTTTTTTTTTCTTTTTTTTGTTAACTCCAACAACTCACAGCTTTGTAGACAAATGCAGGGATATGTGTAATAAGCCATTGTGCATAATAATGAAATAAAAGAAGGAAAAAAAAAGCATTTCACAGTGATTTGGGCTGGGGTGTGATGAACACAGGTGACCAAATACGAATGCTGAGCGAGGTGTGGAACTCGGCAATCCCGGGACAAACATCATGGGAACAGCTTCGCTTATTTCTGCCAAGGGAGATAAAAAGGTTGTGGTAAACAACTGACACAACCTACCCGCCTTCTTCTGGACATCATTTTCTTCTTTGACTCCCTCACAAAGGCCTTGTAGGACGGGAGCTCCCCGGAGTCGATGGCTCGCTCGATCATTTCCCGGATCCTCGGCTCGTCCGTATAGTCTGCGCACATCACGGACTCCATGATCCGATCCATGTCACCCTTGAAGTTCAGGTACGCTGCCTTCACATCCTCCAGCTCTTCCTCTGAGTTCTTGTAGCTCTTCTGGAAGTCCTCGATGTCTTTTACGGTGAGCTGGAGCAAAGAGATTACACGAGTAAATCCCAGAGGTACAGGACTTGCTCACCAGAAGAATGTAAGAGAGAACACATAGAAAAAAAGAAACACTGCAGGGTTTTTCTGGCTCCCAGTGCCACTCTCACCTTGAAGAGCAGCTGCCAGTACTCCAGCCAGTCCCTGTCTCCCTGCAGCACCTCAGAATCCTCATCCACCGTGCCGGTCTCGTCGTACACAGCCCGTTGCTTCGCATCGCTCAGCACCGCGTACACCTTGCCCAGGATCTGCGGGACACGGGGGTGGCCGGTCATTCGAGGGGGACACTCACTCGGGGGGCATCACTCACTCGGGGGAGCGGCCGGTCACTCACTTGGGAGTGGGTGATCCGTCACTCGGGGGGCAGGCAGTGGGTCGGTCACTCGGGGGAGTGGTTGGTGGGTCAGTCCCTCGGGGGTCAGTGGGGTGGCCACTCAGTTCGGGTGGCGAGTCAGTCACGGGGGAAGGGGGGGGGGGGCGGTGGGTCGGTCCCTTGAGGGGATGGTGGGTCAGTCGCTCGGGGTCAGTCGGTCACCTGTGGGGCGGTGGGGTTGTCACTCGGGGGTCGGTGGATCGGTCACCCGGGGTGCCCCGCCGGCTTTCCCGCCTTCCCGCCGCCGCCTCCCGCGCTCACCTGGAAGCGGCGCGTGGCCTCCTCCTTCTGCTCGGGCGGGACGCGGTCGGGGTGCAGGCGCAGCGAGGCGCGGTGGTAGCCGCGGCGGATCTCCTGCGGGGACGCGTCCCGCCGCACGCCCAGCGCGCCGTACAGGTCCGCCGTGCCGAACGCGGCCTCGCACTGCTGCGGCAGCGCCATCCCGCCCCGCCGGCTCCGCCGCCACACAGCCCGCTCGGCCCGCCCCGCGCCCGCCCTGCCGAGCGGAGGCTGCGCCGGGAGGGGCCGCTGAGGGGAGGGGCCGCCATGTCGAGGGGCGGCTGCGGGGCGGGGCGGCTGAGGGGAGGGGCCGCCATGTCGGCGGGAGGCGGCGGGGGCGCGGCGGCGCCGCGGAGGGGCGGCGGTGGTGCCGCCGGGATGAGGGGAGGCTGAAGGGCTGCCTCGCTGAGGGGACGCGGCGGGGCGGCGGCGGCGCCTCTGAGGGGCGGCCGAGGGGCCGCGGCGCTGAGGGGAGGCGGAAGGGTTGCCATGGCGAGGGGCTGTGCCGCCAGGATGAGGGGAGGCGGCTGAGGGGCGGCCCCGCCCCGTGGAGCCCTCGGGATGGGGGTAGGGAGGGGAGTGAACCGTTTGCGGCGGGTCAGCGTTCATGGCTCTCTGGAGCCGCTCGGCGGAGCAGGGTGGGATGAAGGGAGGCGTCCGCGCCGTGTTCGGGTGCCCTGGGAGCCGCCGGTGAGCGGAGCCCCCGGCCCGTGAGCGCCGCGTGCGACCGAGGGCCCGGAGCGCCCGGGTGCGGTTACTGCCGGGGAAACGGAGAAAAGAGGGCCCCTCGAGGGGCTCCCGCTCGGCCCCGATGGAGAACAAGCACCTCTGCTGGCCCTTCGCAGTGCCGAGGCCCTGGCACAGGTTGCCCAGAGAAGCTGTGGCTGCCCCATCCCTGGAAGTGTCCGAGACCAGGTTGGACGGGGCTTGGAGCAGCCTGGGATAGTGGAAGGTTCACTTTTCACACGTTTTTTTTTTTTCCTTCCAGGCTGTGCCCTATGTGACAACAGGAAAGTGTTTGTACATACCCAAAACTCAGGGGCCCTATAATTAAATGCCACACAAGCAGCACACGCGCTTTACAAGGTTCAGAGAGAAGCAAGAAATAAAAGATGTTGTTTTACGTTTCTTGTGACTGTTGAAATGTAGAAATTTTCACTCTGGATATCAAAGAGGGAATAAACCTCAGCAGCATCATCTCAGATTTCAGCTCTGGGTTACAGGATGCAGACGGTGACATTGTAAAAATACCTAAAATTTTCATTTA